GAGGGGAGGGAGAGGGAGAAGGGACTTACATGTGAAACAAGCTTGTTCCCTAACTAGAACTAATAAATAAATAAATAAAAAGAGCTTTAAACTTGAAGGTTTACTTTCTAGTGATAGCAATGGGTTTGTAAAGAAATATCATCACACTGTTGTCCAAAATCATACACTTGGGTGACAGTAGCACGGATCTACACAGAGTCCACCTTGGATGTCTCAGAGACTCAGGGAAAACTGTTCCTGTTCTCCTGTGAGTCTAACATCAGCCTACAGTGCATATCTTAATAATTATCTCAGATTTTAAAAAACGGTTGGATAGAATTTGCCTAATTTTTAAATAAAAATCACCTCCATGGGAAGGTGCTGTCTGCAGCTGAGGTTGTCTGGGGGACAGCTGATTCCAAAGGGAAGGGTATGAAGAAAGGGCCGCAATTGGAGTGAGTGGAAGTCTGAGGAACCTATTGTGAGGAGGGCCAGTCCATGACCTCAGAGTTTCTAGCATCTTTTCTTCTAAAGTGAACTAAGACAGAGTACATCCTATGTCCATGAGTAAATAAGGTACATAATTCTTGGATTTTTTTTCTTTTTTTGGCATTGCTGGGGATTTGGGTGCCCTAAGCAAGCATTTTCTACCACTGGTTACATTTCTAGTTCACAAGTTTTACAAAGCAATGTATTTATTTTATTTCAAAGATGCCAGGTCTCATGAAGCTATAAGGCTTTGGCCAGGTGGTTTAAGATGAATTGAAATGAGCAGAGCTAGATTTATTTTAAGTAATAATAGCTTCAACTTCTTTCTACCCGAAAAGTGATTTAGTTTTATCTATTTTTCTTAATAACTTTTAAAAGTAAGCAGCAAATTGTGGTTTTTGATATTTTCATACACATAAATAATTGTTTTTGTTCATTTTTGCCCCTCATCACTTTTCTTTTTTCCCCCTCCAGTGGTCTCCTTCCCCTCTCCAAACAGTCCCCTTCTGCTTTCATGGCATGTGTGTGTACACATATTTATATTTACATCTAGGTTTCTCACACTTTTCATGTGCAGTTCTGGCTTCTCTCTTTAATTATCCCTGCTTCCCCTCCCTTCAGACTCCCCCTCACCCTTGTAGTCCCCTTTTAACTTTCATATCATATGCGTGTTTTCATCTAGATTTATGCCCATTAGCTTGTACCTGCTCCAGAAACATGTGGCACTTGTCTTTCTGAGTCTGGCTTATTTGGCTTATTTGGCTTGTTAAGACTCTCTGATTCCATCCATTTTCCAAAATGACATCATTTCCTTCTTAACCGTTTATGACTATTGTGCATATAACGCCTCCACTTATTCATTTATCTGTTGGAGAGCATCCAGAGGCTGGTCCGTATCTGGGCTATTGTCAATAGTGCATCCATAAACATAGATGTGCAGGTCTTTGTAGTGTACTGACTTACATCCCTTCAAAAATATGCTCAAGAGTGGTATAGTTGGGTCACACGGTAGTCCTACAAAATGTGTGTCATTATCAACATCATTCTGACTTGAAGTTCTTTTTCTTCACCCTTGTTATACTCAGCAACAAGGATGTGAAGAAGAGTGGGGAAGACAAAAGTGAAAAGCGCCTAGTGAGGCCCACTTACTAGTAAAGTCACTTACACTGGCTACAATTATAAAAAAGTAGCAATGAACATTTAAACCCAGTGAGACTGTCAAAGAAAACTTGGGGAGGAAAGCCATCAAAAATAATCTATATTGTCAACTCTTAAATACTCTTTTCTACCTAAGAGTGCTTAGTTCTTTTCAGGAGGTCATAGTGACTCATGTGCAGGCATGTGTGCTTGTGTGTGTGTGTGTGTGTGTGTGTGTGTGTGTGTGTGTATGTGTGTGTGTGTGTGCATGTACATTTGTAACAGGCAGAACAGACCTATAGGAGCATTTCATTGGATTCTTGGTGGATCTTGGAAACAAAAGAGTGATTTATAAATTGTCAACACACTAGAAAAACACATATTTTTACAACAAAAAAATAACATCTGGAATTTTATAGAATTGATTACCAATATTGATTGCAGTTTCTTGCTTGTCTCCCGTTAACACCCATATTTTAATTTCTGCCTTCAACAGAGTAGCTATGGTTTCTGGAACCCCAGCTTGAAGACGGTCTTCGATGGCTGTAGCTCCAAGTAACAGCAAATTCTAGGTCAGAAAATATCATCAGTTAAAGGACAGTTCATCCTCAAGAGCAGAAACTCTGACATCCCCACAGGGTCATTACCAATGAATGACACCCAAGGGTGAAGCAGTCACAAACCATTGACCATGTTGAGCCACTCAAGACACTACCATCAATCATTCTGAAGTGCCTGGGTGTCCTGTTTAGTTTTTATCAACTTGACACAGGCTAAGAGTCACCTGGGAAGAAGAGCCTCAATTTGAGAAAATGGCTCCATCAGACTGACAGGCAGGCAGGTCTCTGGTGCATTTTCTTGATTGATGATTGAAGCAGGAGAGAGCCCAGCTTTCACTGTTGGCAGTGCTACTCCTGGGCAGATAACCCTGAGTTTTGTAAGAAAGCAAGCTGAGCAAGCCATGGGGAGCAAGCTTGTAAGCAGCACCCTTCCATGGCCTCTGCTTCAGTTTCTGCCTTGAGTTCCTACTCTGACTTCCCTCCACTGTAGGGAGGAAGTGAAATCCTGACTGAATGTCTACTCTTTGACATGGGCACAGCCATGTCAAGGACCAATGCTTCAGCCCATGCGAGTGACAAAGCCTTCCCTGGGTGAGGCTCAGAGGGATGGCAACACTTCACTCTTGGCCCAGTGCAAATGTTGACAGTGTGTACAAAAATGTCTATCACAACATTCTCTTCCCCTGGATGATACATCCTGAAGACTATTCCCCTACAGAAGCTGCTCCCATGGAGATTAGCTGAACCTATCTCCTTGTTCAGCTGTACACTATAACCCCATCTCATCATCAGTATGTGATAACCCCGCCTCTCTGTTCAGCTATATGCACCAACTCCATCCCCCTAGTTCACCTCTATATAATAAACACATTGCACGTCCAAAGTGCTGTGACTTCTCCAACCAAGAGTTCAGACTGCCCAATCTCAGCTTTTCTGTGTCCATGTGTCTGTGTGTTTGTCATTGTTTTCATCCTCTTACTGTCCTAGTCAGGGTTTGGGAACCCAAGCTGTACAAGAACACAGTGCTCCATGATAGACTCTAGCCTGTAAGCTCAAGTAAACACTTTCCTTCCCAAGTTGATTGTTTTAAACACAGGTTCAGGGGATCAAACTCAGGTCCTTATGCTTGCAAGGCAAGTCCTTTACAGATGAACCATCCATTCAACCCATCAGTACTAGTTTTGACCAGATATTTAAGGTTTCATTAATACCTGACCAAGGCATTAATGACATTTCAGATAGCCTAACCTGAGAACATCCCAAAGCAAAGGAATGATGAAAAACTGAGGTCCATGGAGACACTTAGAGAAAGCAACAGCATCCCAAGACAACAAATGGATTCTTATCCAAAGACTTTGCTTGGAAGTGTGACATCCTTCACTAGGCAGACTCTTTGACACCTATAATTACCTTCTCGATGATTTCATAACACTCTTCCAGCCTCTGGGCTCTGTCCTTCAGTTTGAGGCTGGCCTCTTGATAGACTTTCAGCCACTCCTCATACTCATTCTCAGAAAGATCTGCATAGGCCACACACAGAGTCCGCAGGCCTGAAAGACAGCACAGGTTAAGTGGTGGGGAGAAGAACACATCACCTCCTACAGGACAGCACATGACACTTTTTATGGCAAGGTGCTTAAAAACGAAAAAAGCCATCTGCTTCTCAGGCCCTTCTAATGTAACATTCACTCCTCTACAAAGGGAAAATTTAAAATTACCTACTGTGATGGTTAATACTGATTGCTAACTCAATAGGGTATCGTTATCTAGGAAACACACCTCTGAGTGTGTCTGTGGAGAGTTTCTAGATGCAAGGAGGAATGCCCATTTTAACTCTGGGTGACGCCACTCCATGGACTATGTATGCACTGTGTCCCACACTAATAAAACACAGAGACAGAGGTGAGCACCAGATTTCATCTCCCTCTGCATGGGATGCAATTCGAATGGCTGCCTCAAGCTCTAGTCACCATCCTTCCCCTCCATGATGAACTGCAAGCTCAAACACTGAGCCAAAATAAACCCCTTCTTTCTTAAATGGCCTTTGCCAAGTATCTTGTTGTAGCATTAAGAAAACTCATATCATCCTTGTATTTTCATATAAACTAACATAAACTGTCCTTCCTAAAAACTTAGGAGTACATTAGATCCCATGAGTGGATTTCCCACTGCAGAGGGGTATAGCTGTGTAGCCTGCATGTTACGTGTGCCACTGACAGGGAGGAAGCAAAAGAGTTAGGAAGCACATTTCAAGGCATCCATAAAAAGCCTATTGTGCTATGACATGGAAGAACTGGGCTCTCAAGCAGCCATGCCCGTGTGTGTGTGTGTGTGTGTGTGTGTGTGTGTGTGTGTGTGTGTGTGTGCGCGCACACACACACACGCGTCGAGTGTCTAGACATGGAGGCATACCACACTTAGAGAGTAGCACTCAGCACTTAAGCATCCATCATCACATTCACCAGCAGGAAAATCTGACATCATCGTTATCCAAAGGCTTCCAGAGAGTTCCTTTCCTGCTCACAGAGAGCAATGGAACAATTATCTGTTTAAGTCCTGGGCAAGCCAGTGATAGCCCAAGAAGGTCAGGGAAATGACTCCTACCAGAGTATCCGAGGGAAGGGACAATTGTGATTCTACACAACGTGGGTTAGCTGCTTTCCGTTTCCGTGCCACTTGTGAAGTAGCAAAGTCAAACACAAGGAACTCACTTTGGACTCTGCCACCTGCTTCCTCCTAGTTACAGGAGGTGGGAGTGGACAAAGGAAGGCAGCTGAAAACTCAGACCTGCGAAGCAAGTGGGTAACTACATGAGAAGCACACATCTGTCCAAAAGCATGCCTGCCTGCCCATGCAGCAGCCACAGACACGTGAAAGCTCAGCTGCAGGTCAAAACATCTCAAAATTTCACTTACCTTCTGTGGCAAAATATTCCAGGTGGCACAATGTCTCCTCCATGTACTTGGAGTCTTTTGAAAGTCTTTCAAAGATTACATTATCCTATGAAAGGGGGAAACAGTCACTGAGATTGGCACAGCCCAGAGGACCTCTGCCGGAGGCACAAAAACCACGGCTTTCTTTCGTAAGTATTAACCTAATGTACATGAAAATGCTTGGCTGAGCAAAGAGTGGAGCTCTCAGCTGGGCCAAATGTGAGCTTTGTAAAATGTGCCCAACCATCCCAAAAGATGTGTGTATCTAAGACATAAAAAAGAAACCACAATGGGGAAGATTCTGCAGGCAAAGACATGAGCAAGGCTACCACAGCGCCCACATTTGCACACACCTGCAAAACTCAGACCAGGAGCTTTGCACAAGCCGAGTACCCTTTATTGGAATGAGAGTGTTTCAGATTTGGGGTATTTTCCGATTTCAGAGTACATGTGTGCACATGTGATGTGATGTCTCATGGATGGGAGCTCAGTCTAGACATTTTTGTTTCACATACACCCTATTCACACAACCTGAAAGGAATTTTATATCTTTCCCATGGCTGCATTTAGACTGGCACTCATACTATGAAGTCAGAAGTGGAATTTTCTACATCATGTCAATGCTTTAAAAGTTTTTGGATTGGAGCTTTTTTATTGTGTTTTTTTTATTCAGTGTGTGTGTGTGTGTGTGTGTGTGTGTGTGTGTGTGTGTGTGTGTGTGCCCACCCCTGTGTATATGTATATGTACATATATGTACACATCTGTATATGATGTGATGTGCCACAAGCAGAGAATGCTGTGTAGTCTGCAGGAGTCAGTTCTCTCCTTCCACCATTTGGGTCTAAGGATCAGCTGGTGGTCAGGCTTGGCAGCAAGTGCCCTTTACCTGCTGAGGCATCTCATCAGCCCAGATGTGGGATTTTTGTTTGTTGGTGGGTAGTTTTCTGTTTATTTGTGTGTTGTTTGTTTGAGGCAGGTTCTCACTGAAGCCCACAGAGATCTGCTTGCCTCTGCCTCCCGAGTGCAAGGTGTGAGCCACCGTGTCCAATTAATTTGGGATGTTTTTATTAGGGTGTTCACCATATAATATCTTTATGCAGAAGTAAAAAGAATAAAGTGCACACCCGAAGTTATTCCAATATAAACCAATAATGGAAGTTCCCATTACCAAAGTGACCACAGGCCTAGTGTTTTTGACTCACTTTTGATGAGAAATACCTAGTTTGGAATAGACTGTCCCCTCATGAATGACAAGCAGGAATGGTGCCTGTATGTTCCTGATAATCCACTATATAAATTAGCACCTCAAAACAGTAATATTTTTTAAATAAGCTAGTTTCTTAGAGGAGAGGGAAGTCTTGAGAAAACTGACCTTGCAAGAATATGATGAGCCTTGGCAGCATTTTCATGCCAACACTGTCCTACAATCAGCACACAAAGTCTAAAAACAAGGTCATGTGACACTGTAACATTGATGGCTTTAACTAAAGTTGCCCTTGTTGTAAAAGTAGAATTCTTTTTTTTTAAAATCATGGTATTTTTAATGTGCATTGGTAGTAACATTAGAGAGGTGGGTTACTGCCAGGCAGAGAAGTCTCAGCTACAGATATGAGATGCTATCAGTCCTTCTCAGCTGTGGAGCCTGCATGCTAATCTACCCACTTGACAGGCAAGATAACTTACTGGTGCAATAATGGCATACTAATTATGGGTACAACCAATACATTTCTGCTTGGATTTAAGTGCCCAGAAACATTAGTGGGGCAGCTGCTGCTATTAATTTTGATAATCATACTATATATGTCTATTAAATTTGCATTAATTTGTCAGCCTCAGTCATGGAGTGAAAGTTACTTTTTTTCCCTGTTATATATATATTGAATTAGAAACAAGATTGAATTACATGACGATCCCAGTTCCCTTCTCCCTCCCTTCCTCCTCTACCACCTCCCCCACTAAAATCCTACCTGTCAAATGTCCTTTCTTCTAATCTATACCTGACTCAAAATTTCTGCTTCCTCATGACCTCTGCATCCTTAAAAGTAGAATTCTTTAAGCCAAGCAGTGATGGTACAGCTCAGGAGGCAGAAGCAGGTGGATCTCTGTGAGTTCAAGACCAGCCTGCTCTACAAAGCAAGTTCTGGGACAGCCAGGGCTGTTACACAGAGAAACCTTGTCTCAAAAAACCAAAACAGAAGAATTCTTTTGTTGGTCCAAATTCAATGCCTTTAAAAGACACATACATTATCCATTTTCAAAAATCCCTAGTCACATTATGTTCCTAACCATGACTAACAAAGATGAGTAAGCTTTGCAGCTCATTACTGACCCAGCTATCCTGGTATAGTTTCAAATTAAGTGTGATCATTTGGTCCTTCATCCCACAGAGCCACCACATAACAGGATGCTATTTTACAAGTATAATTCATAAGCAGTAATAGCTTTCCTTAGCAATAATGCCTTTGGAGTTTGGTTATTATTAGTTAGGGATACTGGAGAAAAAGCGAGACCTAGGAAACTAGTCCAAAAGGTGTTGTAACTAACAACAACAACAATAAAAACAGTGGCACAAGAGGAAAGACCACCATTCAACAGAGCTCACATGGAGTGGATTTTTTATTAGGGGAAAAGGGATAGGGAAAGGGGGGTCTCTGGGGACCAGAGCAGCAGAAGAGAAAAGAGAAGGGGACAGAGAGACAGGCAGAGAAACAGAGACAAAGAAAAAGGGACAGAGAGACAGACAGAGAGAAAAAGAGAAAGATGAGGGGGCAGGGCTCTTTTAAAAGGGAGCATAGTGAATATGCAGAAGAGGTGCTCTTAGTGACTGCAGCTGAGGACATATCCTTGTCAGAACCCCAAGGGCAGGCCAGTACAGATGCCTGAATACTAACAAAGGGAGTTATAAAAATAGATCTACACATGGATACAACTCTTATCTCCACAGCACAGCCCTCTATCTGCCATAAATAAGAAAATGAACCACAGCAGATAGGAAGAATAGTTGCTGGGGAACAACAATATCAAAAGGCAGAAAGTTGATCACAAGTCAACTTTGTCATCGTCACAGAAAACGATGCTGTCACCTTTATAGACACCAAACAATGGTGGCAAAAACCAGATCTTGAATCCCTACTCCAGGGATTCTGTGTGGCACACCATGTGTTCAAAGCTCACTACTGACAAAAGCAGGCTTTTCACTATCCACTCTTATCTAATGCCACCTTGAACCCATGCTCTCAGTTGCCTATGACTGTGTTTGAGCTTTGGGCAGCCCCTGGGGGATATGTGAACAGCAGTTTGGAAAGCAATACAATAGCAAGGCAGCCTTCCTCCAAGAAGTCAGCCAAGCCCACCACACCACTGATACTTACAGCTCCCTTGCAGTAGAGTCGAAGTTGTCCTGATGGAGTTCGAGCAATTACAGACATCCTTTTCCTGTCACTGTAATAGTAAAGGGGGAGGAAAAAGTCATCACTTGTTTGTTTTATAGGACCCAGGTCCAATAACTCAGCACAAGTCAAAACCAAAGGTGCCGAACTAAAAATAGCAAGGTCCATTTCTCTACAGCCTTCACCTGTATACTTTACTCATTTATTCCAAATGGACAGAAGCCCTCATGCCCTGTCCTGCTTCAGAACTCATTGCATGGCTGTTTGCCAACGATCCAGAAATGGAACATTTGTGCATAAGTTGTGCATGCCAAATCACTGTCAATCCCTTCAGTGACTACTCTCTATTTCACAGCTCCAGAGCCATCCCTCGACAACAGCCAGGTGGGAGATTCAACACACTTCAGAAGCTCCTTGTATGGCTTTTTGTTGGATAAGGAAATTACCAATTAGTAGACTTGTCTCACCCAGCACCAGGCACTTTCTCTTCTCTCACTGGGGCAAAGACCCTTCCTTTCACATTTATCTTTGGGGTCAAGCCCACTTGCTGAGTGAGCTTCAGGGACTTCTGCTGCCTGAAGTCGCCTGAATCCTCTCTTCCTACCTCTGCAGTGTTGACTCACCTCCCACTGGCCCTCCCATGCACCACCACACTCCAAGCACACAGACCCACCATTCTCTTTTCCTACACATTCTACACTGTGCTTTACTGACTTTCCCCCCTACTAGAACACTAGGCCTCGGGGTGATTCCCACAATCTGACCCATGGCACTCTCTGGGATGGGTCTTCATTCTTTCTCAGCTCCTAGGCTGCTTCAGTTTCTTAATGTATAAAGCAGATGATAACCATCTACTCCAAGGAAATCTTACAGAAGGAAGTGGCATTAGGAAAATGATGTGTCCATTAAAACGTATCAAAAACTGTAACCACAATTGACTCTTCTGCTCCTTCCTACTCTCCCATCACTTTAAACACTAGACCCTTGTGTTTTCATCCACAGTCACCTGTTGCTATCTCATTCCCTTTCCTCTTCCTTGGCTGGCTATTAACAGCTGGCCTCGGTTAATGCAGCACAGGACAGCAATTGCCAACAGGAGATGTGCTAGGGGCTGGAGAGACGGCCCAGTTGGCAAAGTGCTCATAGTGTAAGTGTGAGGACCCAAGTATGGAGCTCTAGCAACCACGTAAAAGCAGGGTGTGCCTGGAGAATGGAGACAGGCAGATCCTGGCTTTTTGCTATGCAGCCAGTCTAAACAGTGAGTTCTAGGTTCAGTGAAAGATTGTGATGGCTATCTGCCTCAAAAACTAGGTGGAGGGTGGTAAAGGAAGACACAGGATTTCTACTTCCGGCCCCCACATGCACAGGCACAGGAGAACACACGCATGCATGCAACATGCACACACACACAAGCGATGGGGGGAGGGGAGGAGAGGGGAAGGGGGAGAAGGCTACGAAAAGTCTGAGGAGGTATCTAGCATAGCTGGAAGCTCTACACAGGTACACTGTCACCATCCCTCCATGAACTGCTGTCATCATCCACCATCCTGTTGCTTCTCACCTACAGAGCCATGCTCACAGTTCCAAGCCAAGTGTTAGGCAGGAAAGCATTTCTTTTGAGAGGACAGGAAAATATTGCCTCTTTCAAGCTACTGTGAACCATTTAACAACGGTGTCTAGAAAACTAAATGTTTTTCATTATCTTTTTTGAGACTAGCCTGGAGCTCAATATGTAGCTCAAGCTGGTGTCAAACTTGGGGCGATCCCCCTGCCTCACTTTTCCAGAGGCTAGAATTGTATGCCTGAGCTACCGTGCCCCGAGCTCCATCCATTTTTTATATCAGGAAAAGGTAGCCTCAAGACAAACAAACAAACAAAAAAACAAAAACAAAAAAAAACTCCAAAACCTATGACTTCACTCTAGTATTGGAAGGCAGTTCCCCTCTGCCCTAGTACTGAATATCCAATATGCCAGGCAAGAGGTACATTCAAACACAGCTCCTCAGAACAAACCCTGAATGCTCCAGGGGAGTGGGGGAGCCATAGAATATGGCAAATGTTCCTAGATCTTAAAGAAACTGCTGGGTGTGAAGGTTTCAGAAGAGGCCCAGGGGAAGGGTTTTGTGAAGGTCAAGCCTCCTGAGAGGGTAAACCACCCCGACTACTCTGTGGTCACATGTTAGTTTCTTGTTTAGATGGTGATGGAGGCTGACCTCACAAAACCTGGGTCAAGACAATGAAAACAATGCCCTTGTCACATTCTCCGAGCCCAAGCAGACATGTTTGCAGCTACTGATGCAAGGACGCCCAGCTCTAAACTGCTAAAGGCAAAGGAGGCTGGAGACTTTAACATCACTTTCAGAAGAAAGTCGAGGAAAGTGGTGGACTTTGCCTTCTTTAATGAAACCCTTAATTTCTAAGACGAGTTTGTGAAGAAGAGGGAGCATTTATCCTGATTAATGCCAATAAATACATACAAGTCATGCCACACAATCAGGAAAATCTGTAGATGAAGCAGTTAAGTATATATGAAATGTTTCATGTCAAGTGTATAAAAGAGCAACATACCTAGAAAATTCCAGAACATTGAGGATTCCAAACGTCTGTTCTTGACCCATCTACAAAACAAACAAACAAAAAAAACGGGGGGAACCTCTTACCTGAAGTGCAAAAATATTAAAATCTCAAATCAATCATCCCTCCTAAACACACACACACACACACACACACACACACACACACACACACACACACACACACACACACACACGCTGCCCTCCACTAGCCTTCTACATCCACACATCAACATTGACAAGCTCGACTGTGTTCTCACATCTGGTGGGGTCAGCGCGCCCTCTTCTGGTGGTAAGTTCTCATTGTCCTATGACAGGCTCCTAAACTCTGCAACCGTTAACAAAGCTTTGAAAATGAAAGATCCAAGCAGCACAGCACCACCCGAAAACCTGGGGCCTGAGGCCAGCTCCGCTTATGAATGATGTAGGAATCCATACATTTCTCATATATATATATGTATGTATATGTTACCTAAGGTCACCAGCAGGGTCTGAGCTGCACTTCCACCATCACACTGAATTAGCATCATAAAAAGCAACAGATTCAGGACAGCTCTGCCAAAGGACTGTCCTCAAACTTAGTGGAAAACCTTGGCATTTAAGGATTTGGAGACTTTGTATTTCACTCTGGATCTGAACCTGTTTTTAGAACAATTAAACACTCCTTTCCCTTGTGTTCTTCACAGTAGGAGTGTCAATATCCACATACGGGTGTGTGTCATTTTCAAACACTTTAATTTGCTATTTTCCTGACATGCCACAGTGGAAACAATGTGCTCTTGTGAATCAATACATGCAAGTCTGACTCTGACTTCTGACAGACTCTCTGTGAATGAGAACAGTGCTCTTGACTGCCACATATGCCTACTACAGCTCTCTCCTCTGGCTGCATCCTGAAATATAACCGGCAGCCCAGTTCACCTAACCCTTGCCAATCCTCTTACATCTCTACACCCATCATGTTACCCTCAACCCATCCCACATGTCAGGATGCTGCTTAGACCGGCACCCAGGGCCACTGTCTCACTCACTGCCAGGAGCCACCTCCTCTCTGCATCTTGGTTCCATGACCACCTCACACACAGCCCCTGTGCTGTTGAGATTGTCAGCAATGGTACTTTACGCAAATATGAGGTGGCAAACGGAAAATCTGTGCTTCAGTGATCCCCCAGAATTAATTATTGGATATTCATTTTAATAGTTATTTATGAGACCTAAATAACCAGGGAGCCCTTTTTACCTCCAAAAATGTGGTCTTAAAACTTGATAAGATCCACAATGTAGAACCCACTGGCTAGCTATGCCCCCTTGGGACACCTACTCCGGTCTCCTTTGGGGGATGCTCACTTTGCTATCTGTATTTTAAATAACCTGCTGAAAGTGACTGTGTTTCTCAACTGAATCATTTCTTCAGGAAGATAAGAAGTGTAATCATTTTAGGAAGAGAAAACACTCATCCAGATAAGAGAAATCCTAAACTAATTTCTTTCTCTCACAGCCAGAGATGGCTGCCCAGTGGTCTGAGGCCCTACTGTGCATCCATGAGACTGATGGGCCTACAGAGATGCAGGACCAGCCTCAGAAACAGAGGCAATGGTACTTTCTCAGTGTTGGGTAGACGGAGAGGAGACAGGCAAATTTTCTTGCTACAGATAATCTCGTGTGAGTGAGCAAAGGATTATGAGACACAGCCCCAAACCCCAGGGTTATACTGCCGCCTCCTGTGCAACCATGACAGTACAAATTTTTCCATCTTATTTGCAATCAAGGAACACTATTGCATATGTACCATCTTCCAAAGGGCCAGGCTCCTTACCGCTTCGATGATGACCGAGTAAGGTGTCCTGCCGGTAAATACGAAACCAAGCCTCTTAGCTCCTTTTACCAAAGCAGCTTCATCTGCCAACGATAAGCCAATGACACACAGGTTCATGTCTTGTTGTGACAGAATTCTGCTAAATGTCATGTTTCAAATTAAAACCCATGATGATTGACTGGGCCTGGACACACGCGCACACACATTGGGCTTGAAATGTCTACTGGACAGATTGCTACCAACTACTAAGTCATCAAGACCAGAGTAGTTTACACTCCTGCCATGCTATGCTGGATCCACTCAAGGGAAGCTCCTTCTGATGATCTCTCAGCAAGGCTGTGCTTTAGTTGTAGTATTGTGTGATTCAGATGACCAGGGAAAGGGTGGAGGGCAACTTCTTTGATGCAGTTTTGAGACAGCCATGTAGCCAGCCTGGTTCTCTCTTGAGACCATTGTCTACTCGATTGTATACCAAGGTGTGCAACATAGGCCAGGCTCTTCCTTGCCAGAGTACCATGAAAGTCAGGATACCTTAGTACCTGCTCTCCTGGGTTTTAACACCTATAATCTTGAACTGGAGGTGCTGTGAACCCAAAGGCAAACAGTAACTCTTGTGGGGCAAGGTGCACTAAAACATCTTCAAAACTAACAGAAAGCACACCTCAAAAAGCCAACAAGGTGTTTCCAGCAACAGACCTCACCTGGGGAGGAAGCCTGGTAGATGATTTCATCTCCATCCTTCTCAGGGACGACCGTGTGGCACACAGCAAGCAGGGTAAGGAACTCTTGTATGCAAGGGGCTGTAGGCTAAAAGCAGAAGCACCAGTTAACCAGTCACCAAACTTGAAATGCACAGTGGATTCAAACCATCCCCTGCTTTAAAACCCAGTGAGAAGCCAGGCGTAGTGACACACACCTTTGGTCCCAGTACGTGGGAGGCAGAGGCAAGAGGATCTCTATGAGTTCAAGGCCAGCCTGGTCTGCATGGTCTATTTCCAGGCTAGCCAGGAAAATGGAGTGGGACCTTGTCTCAAAACAAGAAAAAGAAATCCAGTAAGCATTTGTCACTGAACTTTGCACAGAGGTTAGATGCTTAGCTAGCTGACTCTAGGACCAGACACATGTTTTCAATGAAGCTCTCACCTCCTGCCACTCCGATCTCCAATCAAGTCATATCCTTTCTCAGTGTCCCTTCAAGTCTGCAGCCCTTCAGCTGCTTACAGTTTGCTCACCTGTGTAACCATTTGAGTCACATCCTATAAACCCATTGCACTGGGGCCTCAAAACAATCACCCTGTGCTATCAGGAGACATTGCCCTTTCCACCCACTAGGCTAACTAGTATTCTGAACATCTGATCTTTCTTGTACTCACATATAAAATCCAGGGTATCCCTGTGTAATCAATCTTTTTCTACCATCCCTAAGAAAAACAAATCCTAAGGATTTCAAATGAAATCTTAGGCTACAGTACACTTTCTCATTTACTAAGGACTTCTAAGTCTTATAAATCTAGAACCCGGGGCTTACATATTATTATTTTATTTGTTCAGTCATATTCAGGTAACTAGTGTGATCAAGCACTGTCTTCACCAAGGTTTTGGGGGTGACCACGTGCTCTGTGGGCCAGCTAAGCAAATCATCACTGCAATAGCTCCCCCCTCTAGCTTTGGTCCCCTGCAGGGCCTGAGGCTAATTAACCTCATCAGAGAGCATTCTTTCTGCAGTGGTCGGCAGTTAGTGAAGAGGCTTGCAACTGGACAAATGTTGAGAGCTAACACTTGTGAATGCCCTGCCCTAAGTGGGTCATCACTAGGTGTAGGAGATGCTGTCTTCTGGACATGACAAGGATATCTCACTCATGAACTCACTTCAGCTGTGTATCTGCATAAGACTTGTAGAAGACCAAGACAGCATATGCCATATCAAAGTAATGACCCACAAGCCACTCTTTGTCCTGGAGGTAAGTGGTACACTCACATGTTGATCCTCAATGTTCTTCAACAGCCTGGGATCGTTAAAGTCGCATGAGTCACTGGGGCAAGGAGCTATCCGGCTGGAAGAAAGAACAAAATTCACTCATTCAATTTAAAAGTCAAGATGGCTCACACCTAGAGAGAGTCTGCGCTCAGAAAGAATCATGAATAAAAAACTCATGGTCTTACATTCAATGTTTAAGGATCTGGAATAGTGTATATTAAATCAAGCTTTAAGACATCTTAAATCCCTAAACTTTGCTATTAAACAAACTGTGTTACAAGTTCTTATAAATACCAATATATTTACAAGGGAAAGAATCATAAGCTACGTGTCAACACTATAGCTGTCATCTGTGAGTTGGTCCTTAAATAACAACTGGGGGGGGGGTAGGCAGAGGAAGGGAGGAAGGACTGTACCAAGCTTTATCATTCATGGCCAGAGTATACATGGAGAAGAGAAGGCAGCAAACAATCAGAAGAAAGGAAACTGATATATAACAGCTGTGGGCTGTCAGACTAGAGCAAGTATGAGCATCATACACATCCTTTACCTCCTCTAGCTCCTGCAACTCATTGTTCAAGGCCACAACAGTGAAAGAAGAAAGCGGCAAGTTGATGCCAGTCTTAATTGTGAATAGATATCAGAGATTAATACAGCAGATAAAATAACTATTAGCTTGTGGGGAGGGTGGTTATATGAAATGCCAGCTGATACCCCCACAGAACACTAGGAAAGCTGAAAAATGGTACTATGTGATGGGTGCAAAATACCTGTGAAGCATGTCAGGTAACTGAGAGATATGAGATACATGTGAGGGTTATGAGGTACCTGTGAGTACCATGAGGTGCCTGTGAGGGTTATAAGGTCCTGTGAGGAGTATGAGGTACCTGTGATGGCCATGGGGTACCTGTGACGGCCATGGGGTACCTGTGAGGGGCATGGGGTACCTGTGAGGGGCATGGGGTACCTGTGAGGGGCATGGGGTACCTGTAACAGGAATGGGATACCTGTGAGAGGCACGAGGTACCTGTGAGGGGCATGAGATACCTATGATGGATGTCAGGTACCTGTAAGAGGCATGGGTATCTGTGATGTAAGGGACTTGATATACTTGAAAGGAACATGAGGTACCTGTGAGACACAGGCAAAGCAGGAGACAAGATGGACTTCAAGCCCACATGAAGAACACTGAGACTGTAAGAGCCCTCCCTCATCACATGTAGACAGTCAACTCAATGAGAAAGAAATACAAGGTTCATCCTGTAGAGGGGTCAAAACAGAGTCATCCCGAACCTAGATTATCACTCAGTGCTCAAAAGATGAAACTGCCAAACCAAGAAAGGCCAGAAAGGAACAGTAAATGCAGGTTACTAAGTAAAAGAAGCAAAGTTAAGCAAGCAGCATGCTGTAAGATTCTCCAACTCTTACTTTCTGGAGAAGGCAAAACTATAGATACGGACAAAAATCCCAAGGGTGGGGTGACTACAACAGGAGGTGGATAAGCAGAGCAAGAACTTTGGAGGCAGTGGACACATCTCTCATGATACTGTGATGATAGATATATATTAGTATACATGTCCACATTCACAGGATATATAGCGTTGAGTGGCCCTGGTGTCAGATGTAGACTATGGGTGATGATGAGGTGTCAGGACTGGTTCCTGGATTGTACTGAATGCACTGTGGTAGGAAGCTTTCATCATGGAGTTGGGCAAGGCTTTTATCACAGAGGTTATCGGGTGAGGTGGGAATTTTAAGGGAAATCTCTGTGCTTTTGTGATCTTACTGTGAAATCAAAACTCCCCCTTTTTTTTTTTTTGTCCTAATATGATTTAAACAGTTGGTTTTACATTTATTATGTTTGCCACAATGAAAAATGTTTTCTGGGCAGATGGCTCAGTGGTTAAAAGCACTGCCTGCTCTTCCAGAGGACCCAGGTTCAATTTCCAGTACCCCCATGGTGGCTCACAAATGTCTGTAAGTGCAGTTCCAGATGATGGGACGCCCTCTTCTGGCCTCGGAGGGCACTGCATGTACATGGTACACAGACACACATGCAGGCAAAACACTTATGCACACAAAAGAAAAATAAAGATTAAAAACTTTTAATATAAGCACGCAGCCAGTGGTCGCCCAGTTTGGGAGGAAAATGTAGAGGCAGATGTTGGGCACAGGAAACAGAGCAGAGCAAAGGAACACACAAGAACAAGAATTGGTGCATGCTCCTGAGAACTGGAAGTAAGCATGTATAAAAATGATTAAGGAGGATGAAAGGTTAAAAATGAATGAAAAAATACATGGAAAGGAGGCAAGCTAGATAACAAAATCAGGTCAACTCAAAGACGGTGTGCCTAATAGGAAAGGACAGAGAGACAGGAAGGGAAGCAGTTATTACAGAAATAATATAAGGACATTTCCCAAATATTAGTAAGAGGAATTTATAGACAGAAGGGGTCCAATAGAAAGTCAATTAACCACCCAACATAATGAAGAAAAACAGCCTACCCAAGGGTTGTAGATAAAAGTTCGTATATTAAAGAAATACAGAAAGTGATAAGCACTCTCAAGGGCTGGGAAAATAGCCTTGGGGGAAGATGGCCTTGGGGAGGGGGAGATGGCCTTGGGGAATGGGCTGGGGAAAGATGGCCTGGGGAGATGCGCTGGGGGAAATGGGTTGGCCATACTAGGGCAGAGGGAGCTCAATCTTCCCCAGAGGTACAAAGTCCTACAATGTCTATTGTAAGGATTCAGGCATTATGCTGGCCTGCCCCATCACCTGGCAGAATGCACTCAGGCAGTACCTTGGCCAGCCCAGGGTCCTGTGGCTGCTACATCACTACATAGTCTGCACGCAGGTGCAAAGGTTTCTTTAAGAGGCAAACTCCACCCACCGCCTCTCTCTCATCCAGCAATCTCTCTGAGGAGGTAGAGAGATCCCTGTCTGTTGTTTCTGCACCCCCTTTCTTTCTTCTCTCTCCCTTTTCTGTCCTTTCCCCAACTCCCTACCCAATAAAACTTCCTTTCCATGTAAGTTTTGCCTGATGGCATGTTTGTCCCCCACCATGGGATCCGCCACTGTCCCACCCTCACGCAGTATTATAACATCTACAATGTTTAATTAGTATAAAAGTATTATTTTGAAATACAGGAATTTGAAGAAAATAAGTAAAAACATTGCAGATGGTTGGAAATGAAAGGACTAGACAAGGGCCATGTTGTTGATGTCAAAAGCTCTGTGGTGTGGATTTAAACCACATCTGCATTTAAATCTTATCCTGGTTCTTTGTCAAACTAACAGTCACAACTTAGATCTAAAACTGTCCTGATGCGCCCCCATTAAGGAAGTAAGGCACGCGGGACTGTACTTACCAGAAGTCATCTGAGGACTGCTCTCTGGCTAGTTCCGGGAAGTGGCTGGCAGGAGATAACAGAGCAGTCAGAAGAAAAGGCCAGTTCTTAAGAGTACACATACAAACCCACAGGTACCCTGGGACCGACCTCTCAGTAAAGTTTAAAGGTTCCCCAGGGAATCCATTAAGTTTTACATATATTTAATAGCAACTACATATCCAAATCCCTTACAACACTTGACAAAATAGCAAAAACTACCACTTGGTTGGGAGACTAGAGATGAGATTTCCTGTAAATGATAAACACACTCACCCATAGGTTACGCCAGCAATGCTACACTTCTTGAAGTTCATGATATTGCATGTAAGAGTTCCAGTCTTGTCAGAAAACAGGTATTTTACCTAAGCATGAACAAAATGCGTATCAAGAGTATAAGAAGCGGCTAGAGAGAGGGCTCAGGAGTTAAGAGGCTGCTCTTCTAGAGGACCCAGATTCCATTCCCAACACTCACAGGGTAGGCCACAACCATCTGTAACTCCAGTTCCAGGGAATCCAGTGCACTCCTCTAGCTTCTAAGAGCACTAGTATCATATGGTGCACAGATACACACACAGTCAAAACACTCACACATAAAATAAAGTAACTTTTTAAAAAATGGGTGTAATAAGATGCAGGATCAAGAAATTAAGTTGTCTTAGTCATCAGTAAATCTGAATGAAATTTTAATGAAAGTAAACAAATCATAAATAATGCACTTTAATTCATAGAGCATTCACAACGTTTCCTGTTACTAATTCTTCAACGTGGGTAATAAAGAATAAAAGAAGCTTCCATAACTCCCCCAGCCACTGTCTATAGCAGTGGTTCTCAACCTTCCTAATGCTGCAACCCTTTAACACAGTTCCTCATGCTGTGCTGCCCCAACCACAAAATTATCTTCATTGCTACTTCATAACTACCATTTGCTATTACTAGGAATTATAATATAAATCTCTGATATGCGGGATATCTGATATGTGACCCCTGTGAAATGGTCATTCTATCCCCCAAAGGGATTGAGACCCACAGGTTGAAAACTTATAGTCTATAAGTATCATCGTATTGTTTCTCAGCATTCAGTTCTCACCAAAGACATGATTCTTATCTTTTTTTAAAAAAAAATCATTTATTTATTATGTATACAATTATCTGCATGCATGCTTGCATATTAGAAGAGGGTACCAGATCTCATTACAGATGGCTGTGAGTCAGACATGATTCTTTTCTTTTCTTTCTTTTCTTTTTTTTTTTTTTTTTTTTAGAGACAAGATTTCTCTGTGTAGCTTTGGAGCCTATCCTGGCACTCACTCTGTAGACCAGGCTGGCCTCGAACTCACAGAGATCTGCCTGCCTCTGCCTCCCGAGTGCTGGGATTAAAGGTGTGCACCACCAACGCCCGGCTCAGACATGATTCTTTTTGAGGTCCACCCCCTAACTAGATTAACAATGGCCAGCATGGCAAGATATCCCTAATGGTACAATAGTGGCACTCATATTTAGGCAGTAACCAACAGCTGTCTAATTGAACCTAAGGCCCACTCAACAGGATGAAGCCTATCCAACTACCTGGGGCTAGTGAGGTTACAGATTTTAGAAAAGAACCTACTACCACCAGACCAGCAAATCTCCTGGCTTTTTTTTTCTTTCCTTTTTTGGCAGTCTCACTGTGTAGCCATGGCTGGCCTGGAACATGCTTTGATTTTTTTTGGCCTTGAACTAACATATCTGCCTGCTTCTGCTTCTGGAATTAAAGGCATGAGCCACCATGCTTGACCCAAACAGTATAATTCCTAACTAAATTCTAAATACATATCCTTACACTCACAAATGGTAAAGTATAGCTCTCACCCTCATCAAAGAAGCTGCTCTTTGCAGCAGACAGAGATCACCACAGAAAGTCACAACTGGTCAAAATGCAGAGGTCATCAGGGGAGCCCAGCTCCAAGGAATATATCTACCACACGATTCCTACTCCTAAGGCTTGGGGTTCACTGAAGTAGAGGAGGTGAAAAAACTGGAAGAACCAGAAGAAGAAGAAGTCTGCTGTAAGATTGTGTCTCCTAGAAATGACAGGGCAGTTAAACCCATGGTACCTCAACAATATGGCTGTCAAGCAAGACCTAAACAGACAGCTAACATGGAAAGTGAAAATCTCACCAGACTGTACTCTTAGACAAATAACCACAAGTTATGAATGACTACTGTCTTGGGGTTTCCATTGCTGTAATAAAACACAATGACCAACAGCAACTGGAGGAGGAAGATTTATTTCACCTTCCAACTCTTAGGCCACATTCCACCACTGAAGGAAATCAGAGCAGGAACTCAGGACAGGAACCTGGAGGCAGAAGCTGATGCAGAGGCCATGGAGGGGTGCTGCTTACTGGCTTGCTCTCCATGGCTGGCTCAGGACCACTGGCTGAAGGCTAGCATGGCCCACAGTGAACTGGGCCTTCCCCTCCTAATCATCAATCAAGAAAATGTGCTAACACCTTGCCAATCTGGTGGTAGCATTTTTGTCAATGTGGGTTCCCTCTTACAAAATAACTCAAGTTTGTGTCAAGTTGACATAAAACTAGTCATCACACCACGAAAAACCTAGTTTTTCTCAGGGATGAGCCTCCTAATTGGTTGTCTAATACCAAGTTTTCATACCTAATCATATATGCACTGTAACACTAAATGGACTCAGTAGGTTGTATTTGTATGTTTATGCATTTATATAAATACATGTAACAATAGTAATCAAAGAAAAAGAGGCTATTTGAGAAGGCATTGATTTGAGAAGGGAGGAGCTGGAGAGGGGAGGGATTTGAGAAAGGAAAGGGATAGGGGAAGTGATGTAATCATATTTTAATTAAAATAAATTTAAAGGAAAGATTGCATACTGATCAAATCAGGACAGGCAGATTTTCCAGGTCCTTCACATTGAAACTTATTTATAAATAATAATTACATATATTTATGATATGTACAAGATATTTCAAAACATGTATGCATGTTGATCATATTGATCAATGGGATAATTAATGTTTTGTTTTTTCAATTAAATAAAAAATATGTTTCATTCATAGGAACATTAAAAACACAGCAGAATTAGTTCCTTCTGTCTCTTTTTTAAAAAGAATTAAGATTATCAACATAGTAAAAAGGAAGATCTTATAAAGAATTGTAGAATTTGTGGTCCCTCTCCTTCTTGAATTTCCACTTCTCCTTAGGCATACTACCCGTGCCTGGAGCAGGACAGGATACTTCACCCCGGGTGCTATCTCGAGCACTTTCAGTCCTTCCATTGTGCTGGGTCAATTCAGCAGCACATGAGAAAAATCATATACATAGCCCTGTGAACTGACAAAGGTAACTGAAGACCACACATATAGCTGACCCTAAATATCCACAAGGGTAGTTCTAAGAACCCCCGTGGGTACCCAAATTCTCAGATGCTCTAGTCTGCTATATAAAATGGTATAGTGTTTGTAAAACACCGACATACAACCTCTGGTGTGTTTCACATAATCTTAGGTGGTGTGTGACACCTAAGACTATACAAATGTCATATTGTCCTAGCTGGGGAACAGTGACAAGAATCCTCTGTGTATATTTGGTACAGGCGCAACCACCACAGGCATGATCACATTTTTGACCTGAAGTTGGCTGACATGGACTCAACCATTTCCAGAAGGACACCAGACACTGTATAGCTAATCACATGGTCATTTCACTGTGTGTGTGTGTGTGTGTGTCTGTGTGTGTGTCTGTGTGTGTGGGTGTCTGTGTGTGCGCGTTTGGAAAGAATGCTTAAGAGAATAGAGCAGATAGGCACCAATGTTGCAGGATTCAAAGAGGCAAATATCATCTGATATGTACCAAGAACTCATGGATTGTTATAGTAGTATAATTTTACCAATGACCATGTCTTTATAGAAATAATGTAGGTAGATGATAGACAATAGATGTTAGGTAGATAGATAGATAGATAGATAGATAGATAGATAGATAGATAATGGATGGGTGATATGGGTGGATAGGTAGATACAGACAGACATATGGACAGATAGATGATAGATATTTAGCACTGAATTCTGCCCCCCCCCATCATGTGTACCTCAGGTGTACAGGGGAAGGATAAGGACACGAGGCTCACTAAGGAAGATGTGTGATCTGTGCCAAAGTACTCTCTAAATGGCAATCCACCTTGCTACACCAAATAAACTTAAGTACTCCTGTAAGTTTTAACCAGATTTGGAAAATATCAAAGGAATAGAATCACCTGAAAATGTGGCTACAGAACCATTATTTTATAGCAAAACTTGGCAAATTTGAGCTTCAGCTTTCTATCAATGAACTCAGAAATGCTCCAGCACCAATGCAGAACTGACTTTGTCTTTAAGTGGGGAGAAAAGGGAGAGGCCCTCAGACGAATGAAGTCCAGCTCACATCTTCCCAGAGGGCCATGCAGCATGTGTTCCAGGGAAACAAAGACCAGATTTGGACAGGCAATCTGCAGTCCTCCAATACCAACCAGCTTTCCTGAGGTGAATTAATCATTTTCTTATCTATAAAATGAAGATGCAGCATACCACTGGATTGTTGGGAAGTTTAAAGTGTATAAAATAAAATTGCAGTTTAAAAACTTAACTTTAGGTTAAGAGTAAGTCTTATGTGTTCAAAAAAGATTATAGGTTGCAGTAATTCAGTGGAGGCAGAAATGATATAACATGAAAGTCAGGAAGAACAAGTAGAAATCAAGATGAAGATACAAAAGTTGCCGACTTGCTGGACAGACTATATCAGGGATACCTGTCCTTCAAACAGCCCCCCATTCTTTGCAGAGTAGCCCAATAGCCAATATACTACCTCATTTTCCTTGTTACCTGTTCTGAGAAGCACATTTAAAAGAATTCAAAATAACAATATATTTTTGTGCAATGTTCTATACGTTTTTCCAGATATGTTCTCAGCAAAATGATGTATTTGTGTCTCCAGAACCAACTAACAATTACATTCACTACCACCTTGCAAACCAGATGTCACATACACCGTCATGATTAACTATTTGTGCAAAATCTCCTCAGAGCTCCTCTGTTAACACTGGCTTCCTGCTCATGGTGCTGTCCCCAAAGTCCTCAGAAAGGCTCTCACCTGCCCAAGCTCTTCATTAAGGTTCGATGTCCTGGCCATAGCCGGAGTGTCATTTCCAATATAATACATGTCTGTGTCCTAAAAGGGAAAATTGGAGAAAGGAGGGAAGAAGGGAAGAAAGCCTTCAGAAAACATGTAATTCTAATATTTCACTAAGATTAACACAGAATCTGGCAACTTCAAAACCCCCCATTTTCATTCAAATGCTAACGTTTAACTTGGGTTGAAAATAAAATTGCAATTAGGATAGCAAAACCTTGTGACACAATATGATCCATGATATTTAAGTTTTGGTCCAAGATGACCATCTCATGCCCTAACTGTGAGCTTGGTCAGTGCCTCATTCACAGGCTTGTGAAAATCAAAGCAAAACACACATGGCAGTGCCTGGTTTGAAAAAAAAAAGTTGCCAAGGCCCAGTTCTTAATGGCCATGGCCTAACAGTCCCTTAAAATCTCACCTCAGTCCCTACAATCCATCCAGGGTACTGTCTTGAAGATACCCATGCAGAATGGACACTGGTGAGCACACGTGAGAGGCCTCTTCCTTAGCATAAAGGGGATTTGGAAGCACAGCATGGTGACCAGACAACCAGCGCCCACTGAGCATCCTCCCCCACTTTCCCCACCCCTGAGGCTATGACATTGCTTGCCAGTCATCAGTCTGACTGGCTTAATCCCATGACCTAATAATAAACAGCCTCTATTATTTCTTTTCTGGGACTCAATGAAATGACAAAGGCTCGTGGAGAGTACTAGAAAGCAGAGGCTGGCAGTCCTCCAGTTGCTCATGTTTCACACTCGGCTTTGAAACTCACCCAGTTTATAAAGAGAGCTTGCGTGTATTTCACAACCTCCAGCGTCACCAGCAGACTGATGGGAATCAGATTGTTGTACAAGATGATAAACGTCAGCAAGTTGTATCCAAAATTATCTGAGCTCGTGTCTATGGACAAAAACCAAGCCATCCATACAGATTTAGCAGAAGTCTACATTTTACTTCTTTCCATTTTGTTATTTTAGACTCTTCCTACCCCCCCAAAAAAGATGCTCACAACAAAAGCCTATGTGCATGTCTTAAGACTGAGGATTTACTGTGCAGGTTCAAACTTCAAAGGCTATTTGAATTCTGTCCCTGTAGGTAGTGCTGGCTTCTCTTTAGGACTTGGGGAAGGGGGCAGAGGAGAGAGCGGAGACATCCCTCCCCTGTGAGGGCAGTGCCCTCATTGACCTGAGAAGAGGATGTGGCTATTACAGAGGTGGTCAGGCAACATGGCAGGAACCATGAGAGGAAGCTCCAGAGGAGGCAAGCAGAAGACTGAGCCTGGGAATTATGAATTTGTAATGGCTCCAAGCCACACTCATTGAGTTTTCCAGCAGGAAGGCTTGACACATCATAGCAGATGATGAATCTTGGGATTCCAGAGGGTGGCTGTGATGGAGAGGGCTGATGGGAATGAGAAAGGGAAGCAAGAACTGGCTGGCCAGCTGACTTCCCCAACCTTTTATTTTCTACCCACTCCCAAGCCTTCTGCTCTCCAGTTGGCAGTCCTCTTCTCCCTCATACTACTATGCTATCTGGTTCTCTTAAGACAACCGAGGCATTGCTAAACAGGACCCATAGGTCCCAATAACTCAAGCATCCCCAGATTACAGCATTTGTTTAGGAATAAAATTTGTCTGCCAATAAAATTTATTAAGAAATTAAACCTGTATTGTTTGATAATAGCCCAAAACTGCTTTTTTGTTGTTGTTGGTTTTTTAAGACAGGGTTTGAGCCTATCCTGGCACTCAATCTGTAGACTAGGCTGGCCTCCAACTCATAGATATCCACCTGCCTCTGCCCCCCAAGTGCTGGGATTAAAGGCATGCACCACCATCACCCAGCCCAAAACTGCTCTATAACACTACATATGACCACATAGGATGTCAAAGAACAGTGACTATGCAAAGAAAACCTATATCTAAAGCCCCAGAAGCCTGAGAATGCTTGCCAGAAAACCAAACAAGTCCATCAAAGAGGGAAAGAGAATATCTACCCCTATGTAAAATACTCAGTCAATCAAAAACAATGAGAAGGACATTAAGATTGGACCAAATTTGATAGGAAGGAAATCCAAGCACCAACAGAGGGAGCAAAACGTGAAACTGACTTCTCCAAGCAGGTACATGTAGACCACGTAGGACATGTAGGTCATGTCCCCCTAAACACCACACAGTTGACACTGGAGCTCAATGTGATCTGAGCTGTGTTGATGCCACATGTTAACTCAGATACCTCCATTCACATGAGCCAGTCTCCACATCTGAAGCACATAACAAAAACCCACACCGAGTGATCTCATCAACTACAACTCAAACCACAGTCACAGGCCCATGTTTGTAAAGGAGCAACCGGCACAGGCGCTCAAGCCTGTACTCCCAGCATTAGCAGAGTGGAGGCAGGAAGACTAGGAATCTGAGGCCAGCCTCAGCTGCAGACTGAGTTCAAGGCTAGCCTATGCCACACAAAATCTTAATTAAAAACAAGCAAAAAAGGAGCAACATTAGTTTTCCTGTGTTTCAAACCTGAGTGTTTTATGGTTAAAGAAACTGGAAAAGTAAAATTGCATCTAAATCAATTTAAAAAATAATTGAGAAATGTCAATAACAATAATGCCAAAGGCATTACCCTAAAGTTTTAAGATCTATCATGAAATTTCTGTCACTAAATTCTATTATTTTTCTTGATTTGCTGAGATCAGAGAATGGCAGATCTTCCTTCTATTCCCTAGCCCCCACCAAGTAGCAAAATGAGACAGAATCATCAAAATCAATCTAAGTCTCAAGAAATGGAGCAAGCGCATTTTAAGAAAATCTGCCAGCTCTTGTAAGAACAGTTGGCACCTTGAACTACTATTCCATTCACAGCCCCTGGTCATGTGGGTTCTGCTCCAGGGGGTGGTAGTCGTTACCGGGTTGATTACCATCACCTACCTCCCCTTCCCCAGTTGCAGACGCTCTACCCCGGGGCAGGACTGGAACACCTAGGTAGTTCACATCATTTGAATGGAGTATGGAGAAAATGCTATATGCAATGTCCAATCAAAAACAATAGATCTCAGTGGCTAATGGTCAGGGTAGGCAAGTGCTCCCATATACTAGTAAGTGAAAAACAGAAAACTGGCTAGAAATTTAGCAGACCTATCCATGGGAAAGGGTAGCCAGGGAAGTTCTGCTAAGAGTTCACCCTGGTCAGCACAGAAGGCCTTGTCTGTGTACAATCTAGATGCCAGGGAGATGGATGAAGCAACGAGACAGTAGCTAGTAACTCATCCACAGGAAGACACCGAGACTAGCAGGAATGGCGAATGAGTAGGTTAAAAGAAGCAAGTTCATAGTACTTATCTTTATTTATTTTCTTTTAGCTCTTTAAGATTCCTAGATTATGCAAAGCACTGATTATAGTACTGTGTTGTTAGGTTGACAGTACATATGCACAGTGTATATATGACAATAATAGTACTAGCGGGGCGAATATGGAGGTGAGCTGGTCTGAAGTTTGTGAATTAAGTTAGGAGTAATACAAAAGGTTTCTCATGTTTGTCATCCCTAGAGCAACTATGAGAAAGTGTCTAAAAATAGCTGAGAAACCATCATTAGAGCATAGAACAGTCCCCAGGTATACTCATATTCACTTCATCTTGTGATTCCTAATCTGCTCTCTCTCCAAGAAGGTCTGGCCTAGATGGGATAGCCATAAGAATAGAGTAAGGGCATGGCTATCACCCACAGACCCTATGTGGAAGGACCTTCTAAGAGGTTTGTGCCACAGAAGTGAGCAACAGCCACCCCCGCACTCACCCATCTTCTTGATGTACCAGCTCTTTCCACCATGAGACCCATTCCAGAACAGGGCCCCCACCGAGCTCACCAGGGCCATGACCAGGAGGATGCCAAACAGCACCAGGATCTGCACGTTGGTTACCTTCTCGACATTTGACCTCTTGAGAGGAGCTTTTGTTGAATTCTGTAAACCAGCATTGAAAGTCAGTAACCATCACAGAATAAGCTTGGGGCAGGGGTAAAGAGAAACTGAGTAAGACACCACATACAATGATGGAAATGGAAAAGACTATTTCTGTTCCAAATTAATGATGGAGCTAAGGTACATCATACCTGTGAGTAAACAGGCCAGTTTTTAAAAGACATTCTCCAGTTTAAAGAACTCACCTTGAATAAAAATGGCTCATATATTTGAATGCTTAGTCACCAGAAGTGGCACTATTTGAAAGAATTAGAAGGATTAAAAGGTGTGGTCTTGTTGGAGGAAGTGTGTCACTGGGGGGTAGATTCTGAGATTTCAAAAGCCCAAGCCAAGACCAGAGTGCTCTCTCTCTCTCTCTCTCTCTCTCTCTCTCTCTCTCTCTCTCTCTCTCTCAACTGATAAGAATATAGCTCTCTCTCAGCTACTTCTCCAGCATCTGCCTGCATGCCACTATGATACTTAATGAACTAGGTCTCAGAAACTATAAGAAAACCCCAATTAAATTCCCTCTCTTAAAGTAATTGCCTTAAAGTAAATGACTCTTCACAGCAATAAATCATTGACTAAGACAACACCCTGACTCTACATGATCTAGTCCATACTTTTGTTTGCATGTAAGTATAAACTCAGCTACTTTCTTAGACATAGCAGTCTCTGGATAGTCTAAGTTTACTCTGAAAGAAACCAACACACTGATAATTCTTCACCATAATAATCTAAGGAGGACCTCCAAAGAAGTAATTCAGTTCTGTGATAAGCATAAGAGGGGTTTTTAAAGTATACATGTTCTTTCCAGCAGGAAGGAATAAAAAAAGAGACACAAATACAAACACCTCAATAAAGCAAGAGACACCTACATGGGGAGGTGTCAAAGCAAATGAACAAAAAGTTCCCTTGAAGAGTGTAAACAATTAATAAGCTCCCTTAAGGCAGGGCCACTTTGAATTGAATGAAGGCAGTAGACAAGATGGCAGACAGAGGAGCTAAGGCCTGTGTTGAGACCTGGGTACCAAGATGTTCAGGGAAGCTGCACTTGAGGTCCATTACATCTCACATGGAAGACGTGAGATTACATCCTCTCAGCAGTGGAAGATTCTATCGTATAGTATCAGGAAGAGTTATATCCCCGAAGCCTTCTTCTAAAAGAAATTCCCAGAGATTGTTATGATGGGCTAATGATGGGCCCCAATGAAGGACTTCACTGAGGTGACTTGGGACTTTGACATGAGCAGATTAGCCTAACTTCCTAGATGAGCTCCCTCTAGTTCACAGTGTCTCTTGAATCACAACCATCACCCACATCTTTCTGAATTCCATTGCACATCCAGAAATTCTGTCTACTGGGAGCACCATGGATTTCACCGAGGGTGGAGAAGTTAGGGAACTGTTCCACTGGGAGCTTTCAACTGTCTTCTGGGCATCCTCCATTTAGTTTTTCCCTGTTCTGTTGTTGGTTCACTAAGTTGTCTCATATGGACGTTGAAGAAAAGTTCTCCAGGGGCAAGATGAATGTTTGATAACAAAGGCCATCTTTTTTTTTTCATTTTCATTTATTTATTTATATATTTGACTTACAAACAAGATTGAATTACATGACGATCCCAGTTCCCTTCTCCCTCCCTTCCTCCTCTACCACCCCCCAACTAAAATCCTACCTGTCAAATGTCCTTTCTTCTAATCTACACCTGACTCAAAATTTCTGCTTCCTCATGACCTCTGCATCCTTCCTTTTCTTCCCTTCTCACTCTCGTAGCTTCCTCCCCCCTCTTCCCATGCTCTCAATTTGCTCAGGGGATGGTGACCCTTTCCCCTTCTCCAGGGGACAAAGTTTGTCTCTTTTAGGGTCTTCTTTGTTTACTAGTTTCTCTGGCAGTGTGGATTGTAGGCTGGTAATCCCTTACTCTATGTCTAAAACCCACATATGAGTGAGTACATACCATGTTTGTCTTTTTCTGATTGGGTTACCTCACTCAGAATGGTTTCTTCGAGTTCCATCCATTTTCCTGCAAATTTCAAGATTCCATTGTTTTTTTCTGCTGAGTAATACTCCGTTGTGTAAATGTGCCACATTTTCTCTATCCATTCTTCAGTTGAGGGGCATCTAGGCTGCTTCCAATTTCTGGCTA